TTCTGATTCCAGAATCCACATAACAATGTAACAAATGGGAAGAATTAGCCATATTAAATAAATTTTATTTGCATCAAAAAGAAAAAAAAGGACAAATGTATAAGCAAAATATTAACATATTTATTATATAGTATTCAGGCATGCCATTGCCAACAGTATAGGTAACTTGCTACTTAGATCAGCTTCCTTATGGAAAACAAATTGAAATATAGCATATCATATTTTTAGTAAAAATAAATATTAAAAATTGAAAAATAAAAGTGAAAAACAATCACACTAAAAAAGGAACAAATGACAGGTAATATGCAGAGCCAAACATGAGCTTTAAACATTATAGTATTCACAAAATTGAGTCAATATTAGCATAAGTTTTATGGCCTTGCAAGACTTGGGGCACAGAAAATAAGGTCTAGCTCATGCCTCAGTGGGAGATTCTAATAGACCCACAAAGGACTACATACTTAGTAGCCCTAATGTGTAAGATTTTCTAGTATGCACTAGAAAGAGAAAGACAATAAAGTTTTCCTGGTTAAAACTTTGGTGCCTAAGGAAGAAAAAGAAGCAAAGGAAAGAAGGAAAGTAGAAGAGAAGTAAGGAAAGGAAAGAAGAGAGGGAGAGTGGAAGGAAGGAAGAAATAAGAAAGTCAATAGCGCGTTCATGTGGATTCATAGCCTAAATTCTCACTACCTAAGTAATCTGTAGATCCCCAAGCCCAATTAAAGGTGGGTCCCAGACTACTAGCAGACCCAAGCAATTAATAAAAGCAAATGTAAATTCACTTAAAAGGGTCCCACCTTCTCAAGAGTTAACAAACTGAATAACAATTTGTTATTGTTATTCAAAATGAATAAAGTTCCAAAGTAAGTGAGAAATTTAGTAAAAAATGAAAATAAAACATAAGAAAACAAGTTATAATATTACAAATATTATAGTTCAATACATTAAATTAAATACTTCATTGACTATTTTACCAGTAATTGGACATCAGTAAAGAGAATTAATAACATGGAATATAGAAATGAAGAAATTATCTAGAATATATTACAGAGATACAAACAGACAGCAGATAATTTAAAAGGAAAGAAAAGAATGAGTTTACATGTAAAATGTAGCTGATTTCTTACAAGGAGCAAGAGAAATCAGAAGACAGAAAGACAGTACACTCAATCCATTTCAGTAAAAATGACTGGTAAGCTAAAATTCTAGTCTTAGCATATGTGCTGATGAAGAAAGTGAATCATAATAGCATTTTCCACAAAACATAACAATAGAGATAATTTCCAGCAGATTGCCACTAAAGGAAATTCTATAGACTGTATTTCAGGCAGAAAAACCATGAAGATTTAAAAACTTGTAAATATTTGAATGTGTACACACAAATCAGTATCAAAAAAGTTATACTGTCTATAAGTTAAAGTTAAAAAGTGTTTTATAGTTAAATTAAAAAGCCATATGTAAAGTATCTTTAATAATTACAAATAAGAGATTTGTGTGTTGAATTAAATTATAGCAAGGTATTTATGCTGTTTAGGATAACTAGGGTGTACTATACTATATTTTGCTAAACTATGTGACTAGAGGTCTGGAGTTAGAAATATGGAGGGCTTCAAAGACAGGCACATGACAAAAAGAGGATTTGTGTTGTCCTTGGTTATATTATGAGTTTCGGGATGTACGTTAAAGTCAATAAGCAAGTAAGTTTCAGTGTGAAGAATAAACGGGAAAGAACAGTAAATGTAGAGAGAACAGAAGTCCGGGCTAGAATGAAAAGAAGAAATAATTAAAAGGTAAAAATAACAGGACTCATTCATTGATTGGCTGCATAAAAAGGTGATACCATGTATATCTCCCAGGTAATTATCATATTAAAAGTCAATATATACTTTTCAGTTTCCACTCTTGTGTGTACAGAGGCTTAAAGTTATCATTCATACTGCAACAATAAATAAGTTAAACAAATTGAAAACAAATGAGATTTCTTAGACCCACCAAAGAATTGAGGTTACAGGGCAAAAACTACCCTGAAATCTCTTTAAAAAAAGGTAAATTAAATGAAGTACAGCCAAGATCTGTTTACCAAGAGCAGAAGGCACCAGAGAAATGAACTGACAGGAGCACTTAAACAATAGCTGCAGAGGGACAAAACTAAGAATTGCATTAACTCTGTTCTGAAACCAGCAAGCAAGAGGTGAGCAGAGTAAAATATGCAAAATGTTGGGAGACAATGAAAAAGAAAACTAGAATTTTATAACCATCATAAGTATCCTTCAAAATTGAAGGAGAATTAATCGAATTTCTCAAAAAAAATGAGGAAATTCATCACCAGTAGACTTACACTGTAAGAAATGTTAAAAAAAAAAAAAAAAAAAAAAAAAAAAGTTTTTCATGGAGAATGAAGGGGAGATATTTTCAAACTTCAGTCTAAATAAAGATAAGAAAGTCATCAAAGTATAAATCAATAAAGAATTTTATTTGCTTTATTCATAACTGATATAATAGACAACTGCTTAAAGTAATAATAATAATGTCTTCAATGATTACACTATATACATAAGTGAAATAAATGGCACTAATGTTATAAGTGACTGGATGGAAGAATTGGGAATACTCTGTAATAAGGTAACTGCATTACCCATTAAATAGTTAGTTGTTATTCAAGAGTGAGATTAGATTGAGGGTGAGATTAGATTAATTCTAAATGTCTATTGTGAAATCTATGGCAAACATATAAAGAAAGTATAGCTAATATGCTAAGAGAGGACATAAAACAAAATAATGTAAAGTATTCAGTTAAAACTAGAGAAGGCAAAACAAGAAGAAAAAAATTAAAAAAGAGCACTAACAATGAATAGAAAAAATATTTATTAACCTAGTAAGTATTAAACAAATTATATTAATAAACATTTTAGATATGAATGGTTTAAATACACTAGTTAAAGGATAGAGAGTACCAGCGTGGGTTTCAAGAACAACAAAAGCCCCCTCAAAAAGACCCATAACAAGATCCAGCTATAAGTTGCCTCCAAGAAACTCACAAATTGTTTTTGTTTTCTTTCTTTCTTATTTTTTTTAACTTTTATTTTAAGTTCAGGAGTACATGTGCAGGTTTGTTACATAGGTAAATGTGTTTTTACATAGGTAAATGAGGGTTGGTTGTACAGATTATTTCATCACCCAGGTATTAAGCCTAGTACCTATGAGTTATTTTTCCTGATCTTCTTCTTCCTTCCACCTTCCACCCTCTGATGGGCCCCAGTGTGTGTTGTTCCTCTCTATGTGTCCATGAGTTCTCATCATTTAGCTCCCACTTATAAGTGAAAACATGTGGTATTTAGTTTTCTGTTTCTATGTTAGTTTGCTAAGGATAATGACCTCTAGCTCCATTCCTGTCCCTGCAAAGGACATTCTCTCATTCTTTATGTCTACATAGTATTTCATGGTATACATGTAACATATTTTCTTTATTCAGTCTGTTGTTGATGGGCATTTAGGTTGATTCCATGCCTTTGCTATTGTGAATAGTGCTGCAGTGAACATATGTGTACATATGTCTTTGTAATAGGAATATTTATATTTTGGCAGGTATATACCTAGTAATGGGATTTCTGGGTTGAATCGTGTTTTTGTCTTTAGGTCTTTGAATAATTATCACACTGTCTTCCACAATGGTTGAACTAATTTACACTACCACCAACAATGTATAAGCATTTCATTTTACTCCACAACTTCACCAGCATCTATTATTTCTTGACTTTTTAATAATAACCATTTTGACTGGTGTGACATGGTATCTCATTGTGGTTTTGATTTGCATTTCTCTAATGATTAGTAACACTGAGGTTTTTTTTTTCCCATATGATTGTGGGTCATATGTATGTCTTCTTTTGAGAAGTGCCTGTTTATGTCCTTTGTCCACATTTTAATGGGGTTGTTGTTTTTTTTTTCTTGTCAATTTGTTTAAGTTCCTCATGGATACTTGATATTAGCCATTTGTCAGATGCATAATTCGCAAAAAATTTCTTCCATTCTATAAGTTGTCTGTTACTCTTCATAGTTCATTTTGCTGTGTAGAAGCTCCTTAGTTTAATTAGATCTCATTTGTCAATTTTTGCTTTTGTTGCTATTGCTTTTAGCATGGTCATCATGAAATCTTTGCTGGTGACTATATCCTGAATGGTATTGCCTAGATTGTCTTCCAAAGTTTTATAATTTTGGGTTTTACATTTAAGTCTTTGAAATGTACCTTGAGTTAATTTTTGCATATGGTATAAGAAAGGGGTCCAGTTTCAATCTTCTGCATATGGCTAGCCAGTTATCCCAACATCCTTTATTAAATAGAGAATTCTTTCTCCATTGCTTGTTTTTGTTAGGTTTGCAGATCAGATAGATGTAGGTGTGTGGTCTTATTTCTGGGTTCTGAATTCTCTTCCAGTGGTCTGTGTGTCTGTTCTTGTACCAGTACCATGCTGTTTTGGTTACTGTAGCCCAGTGTAGTTTGAAGTCAGGTAACATGATGCCTCCAGCTTTGTTCTTTTTTGCTTAGAATCGCCTTGGCTATTTGGGCTTTTTGTTGTTGTTGTTCCATATGAATTTTAAAATGTTTTTTTTATCCCTAGTTCTGTGAAGAATTTCAGTGGTATTTTGATAAGAACAGCATTGAGTCTATAAATTACTTTGGGCAGTAGGACCATTTTCATGATATTGATTCTTCCTATCCATGATCATGGAATATTTTTCATTTGCTTGTGTTATTTCTGTTTTTATTTATTTTTTTTAAAGGCACTGATAGGTTCAAAGTAGAGATGGAAAAATATATGCCATGCTGGGATGGACTGAATGAACATGAATCCCCCAAAGACATATTAATGTCCTAATCCCTAAAACCTGTGATTTCCTTTTATTTAGAAAAAGGGTCTTTGCAATTGTTAGTTAAGTGTCTCTAGATAAGGTTTATCTACTGAGCTGTGTCAGTAGACACTAAATCCAATGTTTCTTTATAGGAGATACACAGAGGAGAACCACATAAGGAAGAGGGGAAGGCCAGGTAAAGATGGACGCAGAGATTAAAGTTATGTATCCACAGAAAGCAATGCCTGGAGCCAGCAGACGCTAGAAGAAACAAAGAAGGGTTCATCCTTAGACCTTTCAAATAGAACACAGATCTGCCAACACTCTGAGTTGGACTTCTGGCCTTCACAACTGTGAGAAAATAAATTTGTTCTTTTATTAGTCACCTAATTTGTGGCAAGTTGTTACGAAAATGCTAGAAAACCAATACACATGCTAATACTCATCAAATAAAAACTAGAGTAGCTATCTTAATATTCAAAAAAGCAGACTTCAAAAGAAACAAAATTTTCAGAGGTACAGAGAGTTATCACATAATAATAATAAAGAGGTCAGTTCTCCAAGAAGACATAACAATCCTTAACATGTACGCATGTAACAACAGACTGTCAAAATGCATGTGATACAAACTGATAGAAATTCAAGAAGAAATAAACAAATTAATTATCATATTTGCAGACTTCAGGATCCCTCTTTCAGCAATTGACAAATCAAGGAGGCAGAACAGCAGTAAAGATGTGGTTGCCCTGAACAGCACCATCAATTTGATCTAATTGACATTTATAAAATACTTGATTCAACAATAGCATAATGCACATTTTTTTCAATCTCACATGGAATATTTATCAAGAAAGCCACACTCTGGGCCATAAACCACACCTTAATAAACTTAAAATAATTGTTCAATGGATGTACAGATGAGTGCAAGATGAATGAGTTCTAGAGATCTGCTGTACAACATAGTGCCCATAGTTAACAATTCACTATTGTACACCTAAAATTTTGTTAAAAGTGTAGGTCTCATGTTACATATTCTCAACACACACACAAAGGGGCAAGATAAAATTTTAGGAGATGATAGATATTTATTATCTTGATTTTGCTGATCATTTCACATGTGTATGCAAATCCCTAAATTCATCTAATTGTATACAATAAATATGCCCAGTTTTATGGATTTCAGTATACATCAATAAAGCTCTTTTTTAAAAAACGTAATCCTACATGATATGCTTTCAGACCATGATGTAATTAAACTAGAAATTAAGTACAGGGAGTTAGCTCAAAAATCAAAATTAATTGTAGATTTAAAAACACACTATAGCCAGGCATGATGGCTCACATCTATAATCCCAAAACTTTGGGAGGCTGAGGCAGGAGGATTACTTGAGTCCAGGAAATCTAGACAAGCCTGGGCAAATTTTTTTATAGAGTCCTGTCTCTATAAAAAAATAAAAAAATTATCCAGACATGGCGGTGCATATCTGTGGTCCCAGCTACCTGGTCAGCTAAGGGAGGAGAATTGCTTGAGCCCAGGAGGTTGAGGCTGCAGTGAGCCATGTTCACACCACTGCACTCTAGCCTAGGCAACAGAGCAGGACTCTCTAAAAAAAATAAAAAATTAAATTGAAAAACTATTCTACTAAATATCAACACATAGGTCAAAGAAGAAGTGTCAAGAGAAATTTAAAAGCATTTTTGTCTAAAATGAAAAAGCAACTTATCACTAATCCATGTGATGCAGCCAGAGCTGTGCTTAGTGGGACATATCATTGAATAGTTGTATTCTAATAAAAGAAAAATCTTAAATAAGTAATCTAAACTTCTACCTTAGAAACTTATGGAGAGAAAAGCAACATGAGCTGAAAGCAAGCAGAATAAAATAAATAAAAATTCCATTAGAAATCAATGAAATTAAAATTAGGGAAAAAGTGGAGAAAATCAACAAAACCGGAAGCTGTTTTTTAAAGAAATACAAATGAAACTGACAAAACTCTGTCTAGGTTAACAACAATGACAACAACAACAACAAAAAGAGAGAGAGAGAGAGAGTGAGAAAGAGGAGAGAGTGAAGACACAGAGTATCAATATTGTATATAAAAGAGGGTTCATCACTATTGATCCCATCTATACATCAAGGAAATAAAGCAATATAGTAAACAACTCTATGCATACAAATTTGACTTTGATGAAATAGGTAAATTATTTGAAAGACACAAACTATAATTAATAGAAAATGCCAAGCCAAGATGGTTTTGCTGGTTAATTATACCAAACATTCAAAGAAGAAGTGATAAAAATTCTCTACAATCACTTCCAGAAAATCGAAGCAGAGGAAATCTTCCTACTGCTTCTTTGATACCAAAATTACTCTAATACTAAAACCAGATAAAAACTTTACAAGAAAGGTAAGCTACAGATGAGTAACTCTTATGAGCTTAGATAAAAAATATTCTCAACACTATATGAACAAATGAAATCAATCAATCCTTAAAATTAGTTAAATATCACAGCTGAATCAGATTTATTACAGGTATGCCAGGCCATTTCAACATTTGAAAAATCAGTTAAAAAATTTATCTATCATATTAATGGGTTAAAAACATATGAACATATCAATAGATGAAAAAAATAGCATTGAGAAAAATATCCCACATCTATTCGTGATTAAAACATTGAGCAAACTAACAACAGAGAACTTCTTCAACTTGTTTTTAAAAATGTACAGCTAATATTCTATTATGTGGTGAGAAACTGGATGCTTTTCCCCTAAGATCAGACAGTAAAGGAAATAAAAGGCATATATCTTACAAAAGAAGAAATGAAACTTTGATTATCTATTTAAAAAAACCATAAATTGAAAAGACACCCGGAAAAAATACATGGCTATAGCAAGGTTGCAGGATACAAGGTTATTATATAAAAGTCAATAGCTTTCCCACATACCAGCAATAAACAATTTGAATTTGAAATTAAAAACCAAACAGCATTTATAATAGTATCAAATATATATAGTATTTAAGCATAAGCATAATTAACCATGAATAGAATTTATATGTGAGAAAAATACAAAACTCTGATAGAAAGTGAAACAGCTGAACTCATGGAGAAAGAGTGCATTCATGGATTGGAAGACAAATATTTTTGGTGTGTCTTTTTTTTTTTTTTTTTTTTTTTTGAGACGGAGTCTGGCTCTGTCGCCCAGGCTGGAGTGCTGTGGCATGATCTCAGCTCACTGTAACCTCCAAGTCCCTGGTTCAAGCGATTCTCCTGCCTCAGCCTCCCTAGTAGCTGGGATTACAGGTGAGCACCACCACGCCCAGCTAATTTTTGTATTTTTAGTAGAAATGGAGTTTCACCATGTTGGCCAGGATGGTCTCAATCTCCTGACATCGTGATCTGTCCGTCTCGGCCTCCCAAAGTGCTGGGATTACAGGCGTGAGCCACCATGCCCGGCCAGTGTGTCAATTCTGACTGTATCACAACACAATCAAAATCAAAACCCAAGCATGATATTTTGTGAATGTCTTTAAACTGATTCTGAAGTTTATCGGTTTCTAAAGTTTATCGGTGAATGCAAAAGACCCAAAATAACCAGTACAATACTGAAGAACAAAGTTGAATAACTGATATTACCTAGCTTCAAGACCTATAAAGCTACACAGAAATCAATACGGTATAGAGAAAGAAAAGACACATAAATTAGTGGATCAGAATAGAAAGCTAAGAAATAGACTGATGCAAATCATCTCATTTTTGACAAAGGGACAAATATGATTCAATGGGGAAATGACAATCTTTTAGCAAATGGTCCTGGGACAAATTAACATTCATATGCAGACAAATGAATCTAGACTTAGAATTCATACACACACACACACACACACACAAAATAAATGAATCATGGATCTAAATATAAAACAAAACTGTAAAACTTCTAGAAGAAAACATAGGAGAACATTTATATGAAGTTGAATTTGTTGATATGCTCTAATTGCAGAGAACATAAAATGCTTGATCTATGAAAAAAAAATGGATGAATTTAACTTCTTAAAATTAAAACTTCTGGTTTGCAAAGGACATTATTAAGATAATCCAAAACCAGGACATTGACAGTAGAAAAGTATTTGCAAAACACATATCTGATAAATAAAAATTGAATCCAAAAATGTACAAAGAACCTTTAAAACTCAACAATAAGAAAACAAACTGAATAAAAATTGTACATAGGTCTTGAATAGACATTGCACCAAGGATATTTATTATACACATGACAAAGAACTGTATAAAAAGATCCTCAATATAATTTGTTAACAGGGAATGCAAATTAAAATAAAAATAAGACATTACTACACATCTAGTCTATAGAATAGCTAAAATCAAAATAAATAAATAATGCCAAGTGCAGGCAAGATGGGGAGCAACAGGAACTATTATTCATTGCTGGTAAAAATGCAAAGTGCTGCAGTAATTTTGGAAAACACTCTTGTAGTCTTTTGTAAAACCAAACATAGTCTTACAGTAGGATTCAGTAATTGTGCTGATATTTATCTATCCAGTTAATTTGAAACTATATGCTTATATAACAATCTGCATACAAATATTTATAGCGCTTTTATTCATAATTCACAAAATTGGAAACCAACCAAGTGGTCCTTTATTAACTAAATAAATAAACTGTGTGGCAACCATAAAATGGAATATTATTCAGCAACAAAAAACCTTTTTTCAAGGCATGAAAAGACATGAAGGGCACTTAAATGCATATTGGTAAGTGAAAAAAGCCAGTATGAAAAAGCTGCATATTGCATAATTGCAATTATATGACATTCTGGAAAACACAAAAGTAAAGAGACAGTCAATTGGTCATCTGTGGCCAGGGACTTGAGAGGTGGGGGAAGATGGTGGTGGAGGAGTGTAATAGGTGAGAAATAGGGCATTTTTAGAGCAGTAAAATTATTCCATATGATACCATAATGATGGATAGAAGGTATTATGCATTTGTCAAAACCCATAGACTTCTATAGCACAAAGAGCGAATATGTGTCAATAAACAGTATAAATTGTTTAAGAAGAGGGGGCATTTCAAGAAGAAATGCAGACTGTTACAAGATAACCTAACTGAATCACATATTTTTCAAATAACCTTCAGGGATGGTGGTAAAAATTGCTGACCTAAGCATCTTTGGACGTGAATAGCCTGTAAGACTAAAGAAAAAATAAACTGCTGATAAGCACTATACTTAGTTGATAAAGTTATTTCCCATGGTTGCATGGATTAACAATTCTACTACTGTTCTACTGTGCACTGTAATTGAATGATGAAGTAAATGGATGGCAATGGCAGACGCCA